ATAATACCTACAGTATTTGTAAGATCATCTAGATTTACTATATTTTAGTTTTGGTCATGTTCATTCCTAGAAATACGTCCCAAACGTCTACATTTTAAAAGTTATTATCATTGTTTATAGTATTATATCCATTTTCATAGCTATATTCGTATTCATAGGTATTTTTCATAATGCTCTTCTGAAATTCTCAATATCAGTTATTTGTGTCTTCTCTTTATTTTTGTTAATCATTATTCCTAGGCAGATACCTACTTTATTAGGCTTTTCAAATACCCAACATTTGTACTTGTTGATTCTTTCATTATATGGTTATTTTCTTTAATTCATGTTTTTATCTATATTGTTTCCTTATTTCTAATTTCTTTGTATTAATTTGCTTTACATTTCTAATTTCTTGAGTTAAGCATTTGCTCAGCTTAGTTTTTTTGCCTTTTAATATATGAATTTAAGGCTGTAATTTCCTTTTAATAGAGAATTGTATACACTTTGCTTATCATTTAGTTAAAATATTTTCTCATTTTCATTTTAATTGCTAATCTGACCCTAGATTATTCAGATATATAGTTTATAGTTTCTGACATGTGGGCATTTTATGGTTATTTATATGGATTTAACAGTGCATTTTGGTCAGAGAACATATTCTATATAATTTTGAATCACTGGAAATTTTGTTAGCATATTGTAAATAGTTGTGTGTTTCATGTATGCCTGAAAATGATATGTATTCTACAGTTGAGTGCTATGTTATATATATGTAAAATAGATCAGTGCTGCTAGTTGTAATCAAGATGTGCAAAAAATTTTAAAGGTGGTCTGTGACCTTTATTATCAGAAACACATGATGTTTGACTCTTGATAGAATCCTTCCCACAATGCAAAATCAACGACCTTATAGGAATATACTGGATCCAAGATAAATGCCATATAGAGTCTGAGCATCAGAAACTTGTGATTGAATTAGTTTATTTAGTAACTTGTAGTTGATGAGTGGGCATTTATTAATGTGTTATACCTGTCTCTGAGGAGTTTACATGAAATTGTTGTTTATTTTGCTCAAGTATATCCATTAGAAATTATTTCAGTAAATCTCTGTAAGAAATAAGCTGTCTTCCGGGGTACCGCTCTGCTTCCAAGGCGCAGTTACTCGTACTTACAGTAAATACTTCTGCTACCAACTCCTTCCGAGGCCAAATTTCTAGCTTGCTCCAAGTGCTATTTCTCAAATTATCACCCTGAACATTTCCCAGGGCTTTTATTATACCATTTAGTCTTTACTTCTGAGTTTAGTATATCACAGAGAAGCTCCCTCCTCTGCAGAACTACTCTTGTATGTATGTTTTTGGATACAGTCACTTCTATACATCTGATACATATCTTCCCATCTTTTAGGAATTTCCAACATTCCATCATTCAGATAGTATTCTGTTCTTCAGCACTAAGTATTTATTAATTTTAAATGTCTGTTCTTAGTGTAAAAATTTAGATGTAGGTATAGTCCCACATACTCAGATAGTCATCCTGATTCATTCCCTGGTCTTTCTCTTCTTGTGAGTCTGTCAGTTATCTTTCTGGTTGAGAACTAGAAAAGTTTCTGATACAAAGACTCATTGTCCCGCGTAAAGTTCAGCATGCATGTGCTATCATAGTTATTCACCATAGTACAGCTATAGTATGTGAAATATAGATGTGCTAAGTACTTACAAACATGCAGACTAGTAGGGATGGCTGTATTTCCAAAAAAGGTTTATTGGGCAAGAAATATGAATAATTTTAGGCAAGGAAAATGATGAAGGTGATGGAAATATATTGGGAAACTAAATTATATATTTAAGAATTAGTGAGCAGATCAGTTTAGCTAGAACAGAGGTTCAAGAAACAAAGGAATGAAAGACGAAGCTCGTGAATTGGGACCAAGATATGTAATTTGAAACATGTTAGTCCATTGAGTAAAACACTTCTCTTAGTATAAGGAATAAAACCCTTAACCTATCCTTACATGGATCTACATAATGTGGTCTCTGTCCACCGCACAGGGCTGACTTCTTGATTTCCCTGCTTTATTATGTTGACTATAGTTTACTTCCCTTGTTTAAGTTCCTCAAACATGCTTTGCCTCCTCAAAATATCCTCATGAATTGAAAAGATGACTCACCAAAGAAGATACAGTGGCAAGTAAGCATAGAAAAGATATTCAACATCATAGGTCTTTAAGCGATTTGCAAATTAAGACACCACTACGTACCTATTAAAATGGCCAAAATCCAAAACAAGGAAAATAATAAATACTGGCAAGGATATGGAAAATAGGAACTCTCATTCATTGCTGGTAGGAATAAAAAAATGGTACAGCAATTCTGGAAGAGAGTTTGGCGGTTTCTTATGAAACAAAGCTTACTCTTACTATATGATCCAATAATTATGCTCTTTGATATTTACTCATATGAATTGAAGATTGCATTCATATAAAAACCTGTGCATGCATTTTATAGCAGCTTTATTCATAATTGCCAAAACTTGGAAACAACCAAGTTCTGTCTTTCAGAAGGTGAATGAATAAATAAACTGGTACATCCAGATAAAAGAATATTATTCAGTGATTAAAAAGAAATGAGCTATCAAGCCATGGAAAGATGTGGAGGAAACTTAAATGCATATTACTAAGTATGAGAAGCCAATCTGAAAAGACTACATATTGTATTATCAAACTATATGACCTTCTGGAAAAGGCAAGACTATAGAGGCAGTGAAAGATAAGTGGTTGACAGTTCTTGGGGGAGGGGAGGGATGAATAGGGGAAGCAGTGAAGGTTTTTAAGACAGTGAAACTACACTCTACTATACTATACTGATGGATCCATGTCATTATACATTGTCCAAAACTATAGAATGTACAACACCAAATGTGAATCCTAATGTAAATACAGACTTTGGGTGATAATGATGTCAATGTAGGCTCATCCAGTTGTCACAAATGTAACACTCTGATAGAGGATGTCAATAGTGAGGTAGGTTTGCATAAGTAGGGAAATGGGTATTTGTGCACTCTCTGTACTTTTCATTCAACTTCTCTGTGAACCTAAAACTGCTTTAAAAAATAGTTTATTACCCTCAAAAATAAATCCTCACGATTTGTATATGTTGTTCCCTTTGCCAAAATTATTGCCCACTTCATTTGTTTTACAACACTAATTAATTATTCAGATCTCAGCTTCATTTTACCTTCCTAAAAAGCAGTTTCTTATTCCTTCCTTTAGTAACTTCAGGAAACCCAATTTATCCTCAATTTCAAAATAATTAACTCATCAATAATTGAATAATTGATTCAGTAATAGTTCTTTAAGGTTTTTCTCTCCTGACAGAAGATTAGAAGCTTCATCAGGGCAGAAACTATGACTGTCTTACTCAGTTAATGCAGATTATAGAAAATTTTGAATTCCAATATAAATAAATGTTTTGAAATCTCAAACTCAAACCAAAGACATAACAATAATTACAATAATAATAATAATATAAGTATTTGAAAACCAACTTCTTATTTATTCTCCTATATAAAATTGTAAGGTAACTGGAAGAGGTAATTTTTTGTGTTCATTTTCAATTATCAATCTGAAAGTCTTTTACTGTGATTTTTTATACAAATGTTAAATTTTCATGGTAAAAGACACTGAATTAAGAATTGTAAAATCTGTAATCTAGTTTTTATCATAGTTTCATGACTTGCTTCTTTTCCTCACCTATGTCATTAAGATATGAAGCTTGAATAAAATCATTTAAGTTGTTTTGACATTTAAAATGTTATATGTATTTAACTCATTGTTGTTATTATTATCTTAATTTCCTGAAGTATTTAAGAAAGGTAAACATTCTAATAATTATTAGTTGGAATTTTGTTTTCTAAAATTTCCTCAATCATTTCTGACTTACACATACCCTCTGAAGGTCAACGTAACTTTGGGTAAATGATTAATGACCTTTTAAATTATTATATTTAGTATATTCTTGATTCTTACTTAAAAATGTCTTCTCTCACCTTGACACTTTCCAAAGAATACTTCTATGTTGATTTTGGTTTAGATGGTCTTTGAAGTCTTGGGTACATGTTTCTTTGTTCTGAATATGAATCAGATCATTTGTAGGCATCCTTATATCAGGATCCTCTTTTATAGAAGCACATGTTATTGGGACGTTTACTCTATATCCAGACTGTACTTCTGGTAAAGACACTGGTTTATAACAAATAGGTCCTGTTAAAGGTGTGTGTTGACTTGTGTCTACAATATTATTTTCAACTGGGTTTTTCTCCCCAGCTATTTGTACCAGATAAGGTGTATGTCTACATATATCAAAAACAGCCAGATTAAAAAACAAGAAAAGATGTGTTCTCTTTCTTGCTAGAGTCCCTCCAATGAGATGTCAATCAAAGTTTGCTAGTCCAGTTGTCAGTACTTACATTAATATTGAAATAAGCATTAAGCTCTATGAAACCACAGCAACAAGCTGGAGAGACACCAGTAAGTCATTGATTTTAAGCTTAGGTTAAATATTTATTTTGACAAACTAAAAAAAATTCATCTTAAATAAAAAGCTATTGCTATTCAGGTCATTCCATCAAAGAATCAAGGGAGGAGGACTGGCAACTGTTCTTCTTAAATGCTACCTTAGTGTTGATAGTTTGCAAATATGGAGCATTTATTGTTTGATTTTTGCCTTCCTTACAACCTAAGTTTGGCAGAAACCCTGCAGCATATTCTCAGGGAAAAGGAAAAAAACTTCGACATTTCAACCATCTGCCAGATATACCTATCAAATTATTCATTTCTTAGGCTGCTTAAGGTTATTTAAATTCATAGCTTTTCAAACTACTGACAAGGTTTGCACACTGTGAAGAAAATGAATATTGTTAAGGGTTAAATGGACAGCTTCACACTTTAAATGCATTATAAATTCACCCCAGGCACTTTCCTACTGATTTTTCTCTTTATTATTTTATTTTACAATCAGGGACTCTTCATAATTATGGACCATGCTGACAATCTGCATGACAACGGAAATATTCAAACAAAACTGACCCAGGTAAGAGACAATAGTTGCATTATTACTCCAAGGAAACATGCCTTCGAATACATTTTAGTTATGTGAACAGTGCTTCCAGAAACAAAGATGTACAGTTGAATCCCCAGCCTCCCTTGCTGGGCATATATTCCCCCTCTGTCCAATTTATGTGGGTTGACATGAAGAATGGCAAGACCACCTTTAGAAGTGGTCATCATTAAAATCAGGCTGTCTATCAAGAGAAATCGTCTCCCAGAAATCAATACCTTAAAAACTCTTGTGGCTAAATGTCCTGCCCAGACACTTTCAAGTTTTTATAATTCTGAAAATAGTGTAGAAATAGTAGAAATTCCATTTATTTGATTTCTTTTTATCACAGCCTGCCCGTCCTCCATCAAGTTTCATAATTCAAAGGCATTAATTCACCACCAGGTGTAGTTCAAAGGAATGTTGACCTTTGATTTACAAAAACCCCTTAGATTTACTCTATGCTTTTCTTAAGAAAAGAACATTTTCCCTTTTTCAAAAGAAAAGATTTCCCTTTTTCACGTACCACAAGAAAAGGCCTGCAAAGTTGAGGACATGATTTAGGATGATGCTGGACCTTGCACCCCCTGGTGGCCAACACATTGTGCTTCATTATCTTTCTTTTTATTTGGTTTCTCAAAATTGGTTCAGTGATAGATTGAAAAATATTTTAATAAACCTTGATGCAAAGTGGCAATCATGCATTGAGAGCCTGACAAGTATAGTATGTTCAAAATAAGTACACTTGGACTCAGGATCTGTGTTTTAGCGTCACTATGATAAGACCATGCTCTTTGCCGTCAGACATACATTACAGAAAGACATTCTAATTCTGCCTCAGCACTAAGCTCAGGCCAGTTACTTAACTTTTATGATCCTTAATTTTCTCACCTGTAAAATAGAGCTAATAATTTTATCTAGGTCATAGTGTTCTTGGATGCAATAAATGAGAAAATGTATTGCAAAGGCTTGGCTCCATAATTTTGAAGTGCTGGAGAAATGACTTGCTGAAAGTGACGGTTGTAATACGATAGTTAATATGATATTACCGTATCAGCATAATTGGTATAATGATAGCTGATAGTTGGAAATACTAGTTGTGAACAGTTGTATGTAAAATGGAGTAAAGTTTTTATTGTATGAATTATGAATATTCTATATGTACTGGTAGTCCTCAAGTTCAAATATACAGAGAGTAGAAATTGTTTTCCTTTTTCCCTCTGTCCATAGAAACAAAATAATAATTATGAAGAGCTGAGTCTAGACGAGCTTTCATAGGTCTGAAACTGTTCCTTTGCACTGAAAACAATAGAAAATTATGTGATTATAATAGCACTTATTAAATAAAAATACACAAATTTTATATAAAATATACAGTGTTATATTAGATATTGGTGTTTGAGTGAAATTCTGATTTCTTAAAAGATAAATACACATTAAAAAAAGACTTCTGCAAAAAATAGGGGACATTTGGTCATGGGCAAAGGCCTTGGGCCTTACAGGCAGCAGAGCATACACAGCTGTATTGACTACTGTTCCAAGTTTGGATTCTGGTACCATTACCTGAAAAAGCTTGTGACCATAGGAAAATTTCTAAATCCCCGTGCCTCAGTTTCTACATCTACATTAGAGGGATACCATAGCCTTTATCTCATACGTTTTTTTGAAGATTGTATAAATTCATATGCATAAGTATATTCAAGATATCTGACAGCCAATAATAGTAGTAATACCATCCAACCCTATATGCACCGTCTTCATATGCACTGCCTGGTGAATGTTTACTGATTTATGCAAAACTTAAATAATTCTTGAGTTGAATATTTTAAAGATGTTAGGTCCTGGAGTTATGGTTAATAGTCATCTTCAAGTTAATGAGGAGAGAATGAATAGATTTTCTCTTTCACCTTTGGGTCTTAACAATAACCTTAATGTAAAGGAATATGACTTTGGTTAGAGACAAATAGAATTTCCTAAATCTGGAATACTTTATACTTGAAATGAATTATTGAAGGAGGTAGTAAAATTTCATTTTGGGAAGAACTTTGAAAATGAGATTGTTAAAGGTGAGAAGGATATTTTTGAAGCCCGTGATAACTAAAGGTCAAGGGATGAAAGATTACACTATTCTACCTTGCATTTTAGAAATCATCTTCAGGAACACAGACCAACTGAAGACTTACACCTAAAAATTAGTCTCCCCCATATCCTAAGACAGACACTGGGAATGCAGATCTGCATGTAGAGTCTGAAAACTGGCAGTCACTGTGGACTGTGGGGACAGTGTGGATGAATCAGAATCTCAGGTGGATAAAACATACCAGTGCAACATGGCAATGGTAATATAAGCATAGATGTAGTTTAGATTGTCAGCAAGTATTTGCTTGAATATTTGGCTGGGATCCAAAGGCCATGTTCCCTCTCCTGGTTGGGAGACTATCATGAACACAGCAGAGGTGCAGTCCTCACAGCATTGAAGAATTGCTTAGATGATAAAAATAGAAACTAAAAGCAGAGGAGAGAAGACAGAGACCCAGTTATCCAAACTGGGGCACAAAATGAAGTTGATATCTCAGGAACATTTCAGAAGTCTAGTTTTAGACCTGAGAGGAGGAGGTTCAAAGCAAGAGAATCTGGATGTGTAGTTCCAAAACCTTGGAAAGGTTCTGTAACATCCATTCTGATTAAAGTGAGAGTAGGGCTGGAATAAGCTCACAGGTTGAGCAACCCCAGCTGGAAGAAGCAATAACAAATTGCTGCCTTTCTCTCAAAACAAAACTAAAATCTCAGACTTAAATAGTGAATATTGTAAATGGACGTGAACACACAGAAATTTTTCAAAAGGTTATTTGAAGTTTTTTCTGTGTCATCAAGCTTATTTTTTTACTACTTGATTTATCTCTAATAACTTTGACATAACCCGAGAGGTGCCACTATATCAGAAACCCTACGAATTCCTTTCATTGTTATTTTATTTCTATTTTGATTTCAGTTTGACTGCTAAAACCCTTTGTTTCTCTTTTTGCATTTAATTGCTCTTTTTTTCTGATATCTAGTCTATAAATTGTTGCTTTTTCAACCTCTGGCCCTATTTAATTCTTGCTTACCATATTTGACAATAAAATGTATTTAACTCAGATAAAAATATTACTTCATTTATTTTCTGCCATATTCTGTAAATTCACTCAATGTTTTAATTACCCCAAATGTTTTAGTATACTGGATTGTGGCAAGTTATGCAGGTATTAAGTGATATAACCTGATAGGTATAATAACAGAGAAAAATAATTTTATCTAACAAACTGAAAAAACTGTCTCTTCTGAGGACTGATTTAATGAAAACAAAATGGCAAAGCTCAAATATCTATTTTGAAATTGTTGTCATTACATAGGTTATACTAGCAGCAAGGGAAATCATTTCGTGCTTTAAAAAAGTAATTCTCTGCTGCTACTTTCTCTTCTTCGTGCAAGAAAATTACCCTGAAGGTATATGTATGAGGGAAAAGTTCAAAAAGATTTTGAGTTGCCTGACTTGGTGTCAGTTTGAAACTTTGGATTTCTAAATAAAATTGACAGAGTCATTTATAGCAACTTCACATTTTTATCCTTGGGACTAATAGCAGCAGGGAACAGAAGCATCTAACCATCAAGGTAGAAAGAAAGATCCCCTAATGCTTTGTGATTTTTAAATGAAAATAACGTAAGATGAAAGCAAATCTTCACTAGTTGTGTTTGTGATGCCTAATAATTATGCTTGAGGAGATAAAAATAGTCATCGAGGAAAACATTTTAAAACTCTACAGGCTTAACCATGCCAATGCAGGCTTGGCTATTTTTTTAAAAAAATAATCCTTTTAGAAAAGAATCTTTAGTCATCTGCTTAAAAATCACTGGAGATCAGTTCCCCCCGCCACCCCAGTAATTCACTAATTCAATATTGAGCATCATTTTATAATTTCTATTACTGTCTTAAGGAGTCTATTGTAGAACGCACAAGAAAAACAAGTGGTGTCTATTTTGTGTGTAAATAAGACACAGCATATTCTTGCCTTTGCATCCAAGGTACTTGGCATACTGTGTGTCGTATTGTAGTGATATGGTTTGGATTTGAGTCCCCACCAAAATCTCATGTTGACTTGGAGAAGGAGGCTGGTGGGAGGTGACTGGATCATAGAGACTGATTTCACCCTTGCTGTTCTCAGGATAGTCAGTGAGTTCTCATGAGATCTGATGGTTTAAAAGTACGCAACACTTCTCTCCTCTTGCAGTCTCTCTTTCCTGCTACCACGTGAAGAAGGTGTTTGCTTCCCCTTTGCCTTCCGCCATGATTCTAAGTTTCTTGAGGTCTCTCCAACCACGTAGAACTGTGAGTCAATTAAACCTCTTTTCTTTACAAATTACCCAGTCTCAGATAATTCTTGATAGCAGTGTGAAAATGAACTAATACAAGTAGGTACCCAAATTTTGTTGAATTTAATTTATCTGATCAAATCCTTCATTTTCCAAATATCTCCCTTTAGACTGCACCTGTTAACACTGCCTTACTGGCAATTAAACTTTAACATACGTTTTGGTGGGACAAACATCCAAGCCAGAGCTTACCCTATAACTTCTTGAGGGATACATGACTAACTTCCATTTACAAATATAATTGCATTTCATGAATATTATTACTCAATCAGCAATCTGGGCAACACTTTTTAGGTGCTTGATCTTGTGCATGATAACATTGCCAGATTATTCTTTTTCTGGGTTCTTGTAACACTTCAATAAATTTTTTAAGTTACCATTATAAGGAAGATTCGACAAAGAACAAATCCTCAAGTGTCTTGATATAAAGGAAGGCCATATACATACTGTTTATCTTTTCTTTATATTTAACTATATCTTACTTTTTAAAAAGGTTGGGAGGATATACAGAGAAATATGTAGACAGCACAGCCATTGGATTATTAGTGATTTCTCTTTTTGCTTATACTCTCCTATATTTTCCCTTTGTTTAACATAATAATATAACAAAAACTTAGTTCACATTGTAATCTGTAATGGGAGCCAGTGTTTAGGCTCCCTTAGTCTTTTATTGGGTGACCTCCCCAAGATAGAAAGCCAGATTCTGTATTTAGAAAACCAGATTCTTTTTTCAGATTCTTTATTTAGAGAGAGGTGGCCTTGACCTTGTGCTTCTACACTGATTATCATTCAGAAACACTCTTGTGTTCTTGTCCTGCCCTGCCTGTTAGTGCTACCTATAGGTGAGTGGGCTACAAAATTGGTAGGTCAGGAAAATTTGTGAGAAACATGTCATATAACCTTTCTGGGCCATTTCTTTTAAGAGCCGGGGGGACAGCAAGAAACATTTGGCTCTGCTCCCCCTTCTTGGTGTAAAAGTGTCAGGCTGAAGTCACTGTGTGGGAGGATCTGTGGTGATTCAGCACTGCCAGTCACTGGATAGCCATGTCTGTTTAATGATGGGACTTCTTGGGGATTTAAATGTTGCTTTATAGCTAAGTGACATTCTTCCGCATAACTTTTAGCTATGGTAATTTTGTATTTATTGCCCATCTCAAGAGCCTTCTGAGAACAAAAGAGTGTACCAAATAGAATAAACAAATGTTAGCTGATATATCCACCTTAGATTAGGAGTGTCCCTGACAGATCTAGATGGCAACTCTAGCTTTAACACTAACATAGATGATATACTGGGTTCTGTCTGGTTTGGTTTTGGTTTACTACTCATTTAAGTTATTGCTTATGTTGGGAAGGATAGTGCTATTTTTGGACCCATTCAAACTTGAGCATTGATAATTTTTTTAATTATTCTAGATTTCAGAACAATGTCCTCTGAATATATGTTACCTACACTAGTCATTAAGAAAAATTAAATCTGTAGAACTGTACACAAAACTGTCAATATTGCTTTTTTTGATGGGTAAGGATTTTGGCGAATCTTAATATGTACATGTATATATGTATTTGTGTATATATATGTATATACATATATGTGTGTGTGCGTATGTATGTGTAAGAGAGACAGATTTTACCTTTGAATTTTATAATGATTTCCTTGACAATCTGGAAAAGTCTAGTGATATTTGATGGGCCTGCTTCTTATGCAATAAGCTATATATTAGCTCATATAATCCTATTAACAACATGTAAGGTGGATTTTATTTTCTTATTTTATTAATAAGACACTGAGGTTCAAATATACTTTACTTAGGTAATGACGAAGACAGAATTTGAACTTGGGTCTAGTTAGGCACAGTCCCTGTCGTTAATTGTGGTGTTATACTGCCTTACTGTTCAGGTCACTACTGCTGATAATTAAGTTGGGAGTTGATGGCTCATTTCTCATTTTACTCCATCTTATACCATGGTTTCATGTGTGAAGTTAAGTGCACCTGAGCTCAGTTCTCAGATCAGCAATGAGCATTCTAGAATATCTAGTATCATATTTTTAATAGCCATAGAACTATTTCTTCTAACAGCCACATGCCTATCTCAGTGGAAATTTTACCATTTGGTTTGGATGTCTTGCATTCCATTTTATAGTCCTCATACAATTGATGTAAATTTCTTGAATATAGCTTTCTACACATTTTGCCTTCTCTCAATTTGGTAATATTCAGCACATTTTATAATATTTTTGTTTTGTTTCGCAAGTTACTATGGAATCAAACAATGCGTGGAAGCACATGAGGACAAGATTGATTAAAGACAGTGTGCTTTATTCAATTGTGTATGCTGACAATTTCAATTAACTTCCACACCAAATCTTGTTTTTCATGTAATAGCTTACTTCTCTTTTTAAGAGAAAATTTGCTTATGCTGAGAAATTAGCTGTGAATGAATTAGATAGTGGCTAGAATAAAGGTGTATTCTAGCCTTTATTCTAATGTATTAGGGAAAATGTTGATAATAAAATGGATGTATGATCTTTTCCCTATTCCACAAATGCTCTTCATTCAACTCTAAACATATGTAATTTAAAAAAATAAATATTGTGTGTTTATTGGGAAAAAAGGATGCCACCCATAAAAACATGTATTGACTTTAAAATATTAGTATTTTAGTTGGCATCAGAATACTCTTTGTTTTGGACTTTATATAGGGCACTGATCCTACTGTAAAAGGATGCTGTGTAATGACCAACTCTGAAAGAAAGTGATGACAATTGAGCAAAGATTTATGAGGAATGAGGTTGAGTGAATGCACTGTTGGCAGTAACACAAATGCTGCCTATTGCAAGGAGGACACTTTGGAGCCCTCTTTACTTTTCTTACTAAAAAACTGCACTTAATCTACACCTTGATTGTTCTCATTATAAAGTGAAGGTGATGATAAAAATTGAAAAAGATGTGAAGATGATAATAAAGAAATTATCCAATAGAAAAACTTTGAAGTAAACTCGGTGATTTTAAAGTTTTTATGATCATACGTAGCACAAATATTCATAAATATATGATAATCTAATTTAAAAATAGAAATAATAAAACAGTAGCCAACCAAATAATGCAGTCCGTTTGACAATGCTTCTGGTAGATTTACATATGGTGGGTTATTAGACATTGAAATTGCTTACTAAGGAAGTATAAATATTTTAAAGCCAACTTAAGTACGGAAACAGAAATTTTCACTGGAGATATGTCTGTCATACTTAGAAATATTATTTGTCTTCAAGTGGCAACTTATTTCTTTATTTCATAGACAAAGATTTAATGCATACCCTTGTTATGTAGCAGCATGGAAGACAAAATACAGATAAAGAGAGTTATTCCTTATCCATAGGAGTTTATTATCTTGTTGAAGGTATAAGCATCATCTTGACAGGAGAAAAGTTTATGAATGAAAACTGCTTAAATTCTTCAAGTTGAAGTAAACTGAACTCCCCTTATTTCTAGAATAAGGCAACTTAAGAAAAATTTATATATTCCTTATGCATAATTTCTGCTAACAATGAAATGAAGGTACATATACTAAAAACAAAGCATCAGACATTAAAGCAATAAAAGTTCACCTACTGCCAAACTTCTAAAAGTTTACAAATATTTTGGCATTATGAGCTAGGGAATATGTGGTTCACAGTAAGTGGTCAAAATGTTGTTGTTTTCTACTTGTACTCAAATTACATTGGTGTTTATTGTTAGTATAGATTTTTTTAAGTGAAAATAATGAAAGTGTTCTCTTTCCTAGAGCATTTCACTTTATTCTTGGATCTCAACTTTAAAAAATAACCTTGACATAAAAAGTGTATAAATAATTCATGGACTATATTAATGGCTGAGTTAAAACTTTTATAAGTTGGTGTTACAAAACTGTCAAAAACGTAACAGCTCTGCCTTCTTTAATTTCAACTGCTTCTGATGAAGCGTAGGGAAATGCCTTATTGGTGTGCAATGTTACCAATTATCTGACAGAGCCAGAGTGTATTTCTAGCTAATCAGAAATAAGAGTACAGAATTAAATCTCCCGTGTGAAACACATCATTTACATATTTATGATTCAAAAATGATAATAAGGCTAATGAGAAACTCACATACTGTCTTTAAAAGTCAAGCTAATCTTACAGTTAATTTCCAACAGCTAAATTTCCTGATATATGATCGTTGAAAGATGACCTCTGTTGATGACAGTTTAGTTTAATTAAACATTACAATTATTTAAATGGATTTATCCATACATTATATTCAGGGGTTCATTTTTTAAGCTGCTACTCTTTGGGTTAAGAGTAAGATACGAGGTTAATATAAATGGGTGTAGCACAAGTTTATACACATATAATGCATTAGGGAAAATGGTGATAATATATGCACACATTCACACGCCTAACCCCAACACTACTTTGTATGTTTCTAGGAGTACTAGAAAGGAGGTATAGTTGGCAAAGATTCTTTAAAGCTGTCAAGAGCTTGAAATTGTGTGTAGTGTATACATTTCTGAGTTGTGGCAATATCTTGTGGTCTATGATTATGCTCATTAAGTGGCACTGTCTTCAGAACAAAGGCATTTGAATATGTTCATTGCTGCAGCATCATTAACTAATGAGGTGATATTTTCCTACTCCCACATCCACTCTAAGAAATGCCTTATACATGTCTTCAATTTGCTGATGCTGGCAGATGACCCTCTCTGTCATATGAGTTTTAGTTCTCTGTGGGCATTCTCATTTGTACAAGAATCTTGGGCACATTTTGTATAATCTAGCCCTGTCCTAGACCTCATTTTTTTTAAAGTACATTTTTCCCCTCTGAGGTAGCTTTAACTAAAATAAACCAAAATTTATAGGTTTTTGTGCCATAAAAGTGTGTTCATTTCTGTTGTGCTTTCTTTTCATCTGCTTTCTTAAGAATTTTGCTTTGCGTAACATAA